TTTGGAAGGAGAGTTCCCTTCCATTATAACATCAGGCAGTGATTACTTTTCTGGTAAATAAACATGGAAAAAGGAGGAATCCCCTACTCTATTTTAAACTTAGACCCAAATATCACAGAAACAAGGTTATCACGTATAGCCAAACTCAATTACGGGCTCACCATAGCCCGTGCTACATGGACACTTTGTTCTGAGTAGCTAAATCGGTAACAACAACAACATACTTTTCTGGGGTACACTCACTCCTACGTTTTGTCTGCATACCACTAGGACCTGGTCGTGATTCACTGCTTGTTTGTCTCACTAAAAACCTTTCCATAGATTTTTGTTTTTCCATACATTTTAATTTTTGTCGGTAGTGAGGCATCACAGTCTCATTAAAAAGGTTAAGGCAACGGCCTACTGCACTGTGATTTGGGCGAGTCGTTTCAGGAAAAGTTTGCAACTCTTCCCATGCTGCACACATATTCTTAACGAGGAAGGAACATTCTGTACTGTCTCCTCCTCCCCTGAAGAAATTTCCTCAGCTGTCTCTCGTTGCTGCTCCTTGTGACGTTCCTTGGTGGTCAGTTCTTTGCTGTGTTCCTCCACCAGCTCGCAACACACAACACTTGTGTTGTGTGTTGCGAGTCTGTGTTGCGATTACTGTGTTAGTGTTTAGTGCGATTACTTAGTGTTGCGATAAAAAGTCTGTGTTGCGATTACTGTGTTAGTGTTTAGTGCGATTACTTAGTGTTGCGATAAAAAGTCTGTGTTGCGATTACTTAGAACATTATGAATGCCACTTTTTTTCTAAATTTCTCAAACAATCCCCTGCTCACCTTAAACTCTTTCACATTTGCATCATTTGAATCACTCATTCCAGGGGTTTTCTTTAAAAGGTCTTCATGCAATTTCCTTGCTTTTTCACAAATGATGGCCTCTGAAACTATCGCCTGCTAACGCCTTGCTGTGTATCCAAATTAATAATAACTGTTCAACATCCGCAAGTGTTTGTGTTCTATGTTTCGTAATTATTGATACGCCTTTTGCCACTTTAGCACTCATAATGTCCTTTTTCTTACCAAGTATGGTGGATATCGTTGACAGATTTGTTGTACTGCCTAGCTAGTTCAACAACCCGCACACCATCTTCATATTTACAAATGATCTCGTTTTTGCTCTATGGTCATCGTTACATGGTTTTCATATGTTGAACTTTACCACTGACTTTCTTGGGACCCATGGCGTGATATATAATAATTAGTTTTATGTTCAAAAAGCAAAAAAATCACCACAAAAATGGAATTTCTTATAGGCGTGATTGTCACTAAGCTGGCAGCTCTAGTAAACCGAGGCAGGTCGGCCCGCATGACCGAAAACCGCGCGCTCGGTCGACCCAAACGTTAGTCAACAACACTATCGCAAGTCAAGTCACATTTTTCGATCAAATTTACATCGTAACTCGAAATTATCGAAAGTCGGGGCAATCGTAAGTCGAGGTGCCACTGTACAAGATTTGAACTTTTGGGTTTAAAAGTCTGTGTACATTTAACCAAGAGTTCCTATAAATACTATAATTTTTGGATGGGTTGTATGATGGAAATTTAGAATATTGTAACGAACAAATATTGTTCATCGTTACACTTTGGTGCTTAGCCCCGATTTTCATTCAACGACAATCTTTTCTTGACTGGACACTCGTTCATTGACAGTCATTCATTGCAATTTGGCTGCTCATTCATTGACAGTCATTCAATGCCTGACTGACTCCTTTTATATATCTTGGCATCGTTCTGTATATGTAATAGCTTTTATATATTACATTTCCACTGGCTACCTACATCATATTACGTCATTTTCTTGAATGTACTCTTGTCCCTAGTTAACAGTACTTGGGTCATATTTATGGTCTTTTACTTGCATATTTGCATACTTCATACAACAAGGTTCATGAGAGCGGTGTTTCTTAGTGTGCATATTGGCCATAACACTAATAGTGCTAGGCTAGACTATGTATGTGTTCGGATTCCTGATCTTGCACAGTGCCAGTGTTCAGTTATAGAACTGTTTTACTTCCTCTTCTCCTTGTACGATATTACAAGCTGATCTGTTGACATGTCGGCAGGTGGAGGTAGATCTCTTATCAACTACTCTTGCCCCCCTAAATCTCATTGTCATTAGCACGAGAGGAACTAGGATTTCCAGCCCTGGCTGCGGATTTTTATTTGTATTTCTTTTACGTACTGAATCTTTGTATTTTAGTGCAGTACATGACCTCCAGTGTTCTCTTCCTCCATAAATCGGTGGCACATGTGTCGTCTGCTCTGCTGGAGCCGTTTCCTCTGTTCCTGCGGGATGCAGTGTTGCAACTTTTCGATTCACGTCTTGCATGTCGGCTAGTGGTGCTCGTTTCCTCGTTTGCTTCTGCCTGGGCCCTTGCTCTTCGGTTTTTGTCGCCATTTGTCCTAGCTGTTTGCGGAGTCTGCAGTTGGGCAGTTTCTGCAAGCTGCTGCTTCTAGTTGTCGTCCGTGTCGGACTTGTTGGTCCTTCGGCGGTCCTGGGAGGGGGTTCCTCCCGGTCGGGGCGTTTCTGCTCGCCAGGGATTTGGTTCTTTCCCGGCTCGCCGGGTTTGGATTCATGGTGCCCTAGCAGAGGTTTCATCTAGTTCCCTAATAACCTTGGTTCAGGCGCTGTTTGCTCAGTGTTCGCAACCAGGGTTTTTTCCATGGCGAGATGGAAAACCTAAAATCTAAAAACTTCCTCTTTCAGATGCTCGGTCCGGTCTGTTACGTGGCTGGTTCAATCTTCTCTTCAAATCTTCACTTTAGGTACTTTTAACTCGAGTCTAACTCCATCTGTTTGGTGATCAGGTGGCTTTGTTGATGGTGTCCCACCTGTGTGCTGCATCTCAGTGGCAGTATGTGGTTTACTGGCGATACTTTTTCCTTTTCGTTTCATCGTAGGTTTACTGGGCTTTTTGTTGCAGTGGTCTTGTCCTTTCTCTCGTGGTGGTTCAGGACCGTCATTTTGTGCGGCATACTGTCGCCTTGTCTCGTGCGGCTCTGGCGGAGCCGCTAAAGCTTGCTTTCGGATTTGATGTTTCTTCTGCACTGTTTCGCAAGCTGTCTCAGGCGTTGTTTCACCTCCGGCCAGGTCATGTGCTGCCTGAGCCGTTCTGGTCTTGGCCTGGGTGCACTCTTCTCTTTCCCTCGGTTTGATATGGCTCCTTCAGTTCGAGAATGTTTCTTGAAGGCTTCTGCTCCTTTGGGTTCTGGTGTCCAGTTTGTTCGTTTGCAGCCATCTCTTTTTTTTCTGGCAAGGCTGGGCCGGCTGTTTTCCGGAGGGGTCCCTGGGGTTGTTGATGCTTGGTTGGTTTGGCCGGGGATGCATCTTGTGTCAGGTTGTGGTTTACAGACATTGCCTGCATGCCGCGGCCTCTGTCGCCCTGGACGTGCTTTGAGTTGCCCGGGTTACCTTCATCCCTGTTCCAGGGTTTGGGATTCCTGGGTTGTCTGCAGGGGTCGTTTTGTGTTGCCAGGTGTCTTGCTTTCGGGCGTGTGGTTTCCACTTCCCGGGTTTGTCCCTCTTTTGTCCTTCTTTGGGTAGTTAACTCCAGGGAAATGAAGGGGCTCCCCCTCGAGAAAACCAGCGTTGAATGTAATGAAACACCAGTTTCTGGGCGAGACCCGGAGGCTCCCCGACATCCCCCCTACCTCCGGTCAGCGGTTCTTTTCACGTGTTTTGACATCCAGCCTAAGAACCGACAGGCTCAGGTAGCCGGCAGGGGATCTGGGGCTCCTTGGGGGGGGGAGGGGTTGTGCAGACAGCGGCACGTTTGAAGCGAGATGAAGTCATGCTCGATTGATCGTTTTTCTTCACAGAGTTCTATCCTCTCGTTCAGCATTTGGTAGCATTTCATCACCAGAATGGGGAAAGGGGTGTTTTGGGATTTCTATCTTTCTGGGTGCCCAACCCGGTCGATGGCAGAGTACTTCTAAACCACATATAAGGTGTCTCTATAGGCCATTGCTCCTCGGGCCTCTCTGAGGGGGCAGGTTCCAGCTTGGAGTTCTAGGCCTACTGGGGACCACATGTACTCAAACTCCATGTACTGATGCCCAAAGCTTATACATTCGTATCAGCTGGATAGCTCCAAGGAGCCTCACCCAGAAAATGGTGTTTCATTACATTCAACGCTGGTTTTTTGCAATATAATAAATATCCAGAAAACAAATATTTTTATGTGTTTATACTGTCATTTGAGAACATTGTGGAAGAGCAAGAGAAAGGAAGACACTTCCTCAAGACACAAGCAAGAAACCACAGTGACCAATCACCCAAAAAGTCTCAAACACAGCACCGAGGGTCAGAAAATGTGCCAAACGGGTAAAATCTCAATAAATGTAAACTCAAAACCAAGGCTTCACTGCAAGATCCAGGGAAGGTTCTGAAAACCAAAACTCAGGGAAACTAGATTGCAGAAATCTGCCGTGAGCAGAACCAAGCAACAAATCTGGGCTATGAAAATTATCCCAAGGGAAAGGACAGAGGAGGCCTCAGGGAGGGAAGATAAACTTCACTGGAAAATAACCCCCTCAGGCCTAGCTAAAACAAAGACACAATGAGGGAGACAGGGCAAACCCAGGACCTTTCCAAACAAATTCCCCTTTCTTCCCCAGAAGTTGGGATTTCTCAATTTTGGGTCAATCTCTAAGCTCTCTTTTTCTTGTAGAAAAAGCCACGTTCTGGTCCTGGCTCCTGTTAGGCAAGGGTGGGTCTCGGATGCCTGGTGCAGCTCCTTAAGGCTCGGCTGTAGCAGCACTTACAGTGTCTGGGGTAAACCAATGGAATACGCTTGCAGAAAATATGAACGAATCACAGCTTCAAACCAGATATCAGAGCATTAGAATTTACAAAGGTATAAATGCACCAGGTTCAAGGGATCAGAGTTGGGGCCCTAAAGCTACTGCAATTTCATTCCTTACAGACACAGGCAGGAAACTAAGGCAAGCACATACTGTAGCTGTGGAACGATGGCTGGATCATTGGAATGTGGGGTCATGGGAGTCATGGGTCCCCCACCTGGAGTGGAGGGTCCTGTGGCTGGCCCAAACATGCCTGCACCCACTTGTGATCCGCCTCCTACTACAGGTGACATCATACTCTGAAATGTCAACGAGTGACAATTAAAAATTAAATAGTCAAATTTCCTCAAGTTAATATAAACGACTAAAAAATTTCAAAATACTGATGCAAATCAAAATTAAGGAGTAATTATTACCTAGGGTAAAAATAACCAAGAAAAGCACTAAATAATTTTGTATATTTTACCAAAATGCATTTTTTTTCAGTGCAGTTGAAATGCATAACAAGAAAGTATTGTGTCAGCACAGGTGTTAAGTGTTTTCCTGTCTGCAATACACTTAACCCTTTGGTGAAGAGGTCGACTCATGAAAAGCAGACCAAAATTACAATAAGTGATCACAGTCCACCTGCCTAAAAAATGTTTCCAAATCATATACAGTAAAGATCAAACAGGTCCTCTGGTCTTCATAAGAACCCCCTGGGCCTGGCAAATATTACCAGCTGTTGTTGGTAGAATAAATTATCACCCCAATGCAGTAGCACCAATAATCAGCTATTATGCTTCCTTCAAACAACTCTTACTTCACACTCATTACACAAAAAAAAATAATAATAATTGCCCCCCCCCCCAATCCGACAGTCAGGGACAGGAAGCCTGTTAGGCTTATCGACATTCCCATAGATGCAACCCCCAACAGTTGCCCAAATTCTGGGTACCTATTTACTGTTAAGTGAACTAACAAAATTTAAATAAAAAGAATTATAAAAAATTATCTGATGTGAAATTTCAAGTCCAAATTAACTAAAGAAAAATGTTATGAGTAACACCATATATAAAAGTCTTTGCTGCATACAATGTTTTGTTTGTGATGAACTTAAAAAAGTCACCACACTTTGAATGGCTCATTCAGAGTTACATTACATCTTGGTACAAGTTCAGCCTTGTGCCATAGGACACGTCTTCACATCTCTGTCAGCAACAACAACAACTCACAACTAACCGGAGTGTGTGGCTGCATCAGGCTGTGGGGTGTGAACCCACTACTGTAAGTCTGTTGCGTCATCTGCTGTTGCTGCCCTTGCTGCTGTGACTGTTGCTGCTGATTGTGCTGTTGTGCAGATTGCTGCTGCTGTTGCTGCTGAGCAGATGGGAGAATCATCTCTTCCTCACCCATTGCAGGTGCCAGAGGTGTCCCAATACTTGGGATACTGAATCCCGGAGAGGGCAGCATGTGATCCATGATGTCGGTAGTGGCAACAACTTAAACTCTGAAAGTAACAAACAAAAATAATAAGTTGTTTTATATCCATCTCACTGACAAACTCAAATTAAAAAAAAAAAAAGATATTGCATCTATAAATTGAAGAAGAAAATCACACCTATAATTACTAACAATTACAGATAGTAGGCCAAGTAAATAAACTAATTACTAATCTGCCCTAGAGCTTTAATCATGTATAGTATTATAAATATCAGATTATTTTTGCATTCAGCATATCACTGTTTTTTTAAAACCAAGAGATAAACCACCTTCCATTGCAACAATCAACCACGGAGCAGTCAACAAAGAATGGCGATCGTCATCTTCAGAGATTTTGCATCATGTGCTGCACCGATATGCATAAAAAACCAGCGTTGAATGTAATGAAACGCAAGTTTCTGGGCGAGACCCGGAGACGCCCCGGAGCTAACCGGGCTGATATGAATGTATTGGACCCTGGCATCAGTCAATGCACATCGAGTTTTAGGCCTACTGGGGACCACAAGCCAGAACTTTGCTTCCTCAGAAAGACACAAGGAGCAATGGCCTATAGACACTCCCGTGTGGTTGGAAGCATTCTGTCTGCCATCGACCAGGTCAGGCACCCAGAAAGGCAAGCGCCTCAAGTCAAACCCCTATTCTGGTTAAAATATTGCTACTGAAAGCCAAACTAACGGACAGAACTCCCCAAATGAAAACGAGCAAATGAGCATGACGTCACCGGGTCGCTGTCTGCGCAAACATCTCCCCCACCTCCCCAGGAGGGAAAAGAGAGAGCCCCAGACCCCCATGCCGGCTATTCACCCTGCAGTTCTGAGGCTGGATGTCAAAAATCCGCCAAACGGAGGGAGTGATGCCGGGAAGCTTCAGGTCTCACCCAGAAACTGGCATTTTACTACATTCAACGCTAGCTTTCTGGCGATAGTCCCTTCGACTCCCGGAGCTACTTACCGAAAGAGAAAACAAGAGGGACTTACCTGAGAGGCGGTCGGCCCTCGCTCCTCAACGCGAAGTCAAGACAACTGGCTGCAACCACCCATCCACAGCAACAACCTGACTAGATGACTAGGCCCAGGAACATTGACAAGGTAGCAAACGGCCAGGACCCTGTTCGATCTCCAAAAACCACGTGCCCAAATGTCAGCCCAAGACATGTTACCAAAGATGGCAGCCAGCGCAGTAAACTTACGAACGTCATGGGCACAAGGATAGACTGCAGGCTGGCTGGACCGAATAACACTGCAGACGACCTGGAAGACCTGAACCCTGGAACAGGGAAGGGGGGAAACCGGATCAACCCAAAGCGCATCCCTGGCCCTGGAGGCCGTGGCTCGCAGGTAACGGCAGAGCCGCAACCGGACACAAGACATGAAGCACCCTTGGCCTAACCAACCAAGCACCAACAACACAAGGACCCGTCCGGAAAGCAGCAGCACTCATTCTTCGCCAGAAAAGGAAATGGCTGCAAATGAACAAACCTATTACCAGGACCAAAAGAGCAGAAACTCCTGCGCCGGAGAAGAGCATGATGCTCCCCCAACCCGACCCCCAGAGGCCAATGCCAACAGGAAAACAATCCTTAACCAAAGGGGCCAATACAAACCGAGGAGACGAAAGAAAAGAGCCCCCCTGTCCAACGACCAGGACGGCTCAGATGGCACTTGAGCAGACCGAAGGTGAAACAATGCACGAGACAGCTTGCAGAACGGTGCAGAAGTAACATCAATGCCGAACACAAGCTGCAGTGACTCCGCCAGTGCCACACAATATGAAGCAACAGTATTCGGAATAAGACGATGGTACTGAAACAACCACTAAAGAAAGGACAAGACAACCCTATCAGAGACCAAAGGAAACCTATGAAGGGATATGAAATAACGGAAGGACCACCAGGAAATTTCATACTGCCACTGAGACGAAGCACGCAGGTGGGACACTGTAGCGAGTAATCCTAATACTCGCTCCATTATCTCATTATCTTAATGGCATAACTAATTACACATGCTATAATCCTATCCCTATTTACAGGTAACGGTTTTTCCACCCTCCTATCTTACTGTGAGGTGTAGTCATCGTATTTAAACAAGCGATTTGATGAATAGCGGACAGTACAATCTCCAGTCAAGAATGTAGTACTCGGTGTAGGCAGTTCTAATCGACCCAAGACGCTACAGCTTCGACACAGAGCAGGCAGCAAACTACGACCTCATCCAGCTACAACGCTCTCCCACATAGAGCTCCGCGACTCCGGCCACGCTCGGCTTTCTGCTCTGCTTCAGGCTTCGTCTCAACGTCTACGACACTGCTGTATCCAGGACTACTAAATAAATATGAAACTCACTAAACACTGTATCTAATCAACCCAACAACGTAACATAATCGTACGTTACAACACCATCAACGAAGCCACCTGCTCACCATACAAGTGGTGATAGAATCTAGTCAGAAACACCAGACACGAAGACTCAAGAAGATCGAATCAGCCACATAACGGACTGGACCGATCTGCTGAAAGAGGCGGAGCTGTGGGAAGACCCTTGGGGTTTGGACACTGAGCAATCAGCGCCTGAAACCAAGGCTGGGCCGGCCACCAAGGGGCCAGAAGGACAAGTCTCCCTTGGTAAAAATCCCTCCGGCAGGAAACCCACCGGAGGGATGAGGTTGTTTCAACAATGCCCAAGCGAACCCACTTCGAGATGACCTGACAGTGCAGGAGAAGAAGCCTGCCCCGCCAACTCTGAATCGCCCAAAGGTTGAGGGGCTACCCAACGCAAGCCACAAGAAACGACCCAACAAATCCTAACAAATCGTGGGACCAGGCGTGGGCAAACAACGCGAGCCTAACCCCCCCCCCACCCCCTCCCCCCCGTCAATGGGACGAATTGCGAAAGGGTCAATGTCCTTTACAAGAAGCCAACCAACAAGCAGAGCGATTACCGCGCTGACCGGACGCCGCCGGCTTCGAAGGCTGCACTGGTTTAGAAACTGTCACTACTGGCCCACCACGATAGGAGAAATCCAGAGCCCTTGCATGACCCTTCTGGGAAGAACTGGAACAATGGGGGCCCACTGGTCAGACCAGAAGCACCGACTGGAGGAACGGGCTTGAATGCTGCCAGCGCCACACCGGATGGAGCATTCCAAGGTTCCCCGAAACGGCCCGAGTCTCACTATTTGCCCCTCACTATTATTTGCATCTGACTATCTCACCCTGCCCCAACTCCGAAACTCTCAGACGCTCCGGAGCGGAAGCAGGGGAAAAGGAACAGGATGAACAACAACAGGGAAAGGACAAGGGGATGCAGACGAAATCAAAGTCGAGGCGCCTAATACCCCAAAGTCCGGGTCCCTATAACCAAAGGGGGGCAGGCTTGAGGCATCCGGGTGAGCAACTAACCTAGCATGCTGCAGCAGCCTAGAATGCGCATGCAACGCCAAAGCCACCTGCACCCGAATATCATGACCTCATCTCCAGAATGACATAGCTGCCCTGGAGAAGGTGCAACACTGGGCAATAAAAATCATTCCAGAGCTAGGTCAACTTACATATCAGAATGGTTGAGGGGCTCAGGGCTAACAACACTGCAGACCAGGCATGACTCGGTGGATCTCATTGGATCTCATTGAAACTTAAAATACTGAACAATTTGGAGGAATGTTGAACTGCTCACTTTCTTCAGAAGGTCAGGTGTAATGCAAACAAGGAACAACGGTTTCAAGCTCAGTATGCCACAATGAGAACAGAAGATGATTTTTTCACCCACAAGGTTATAAACCCAAGGAACTGCCTACCCGCCAAAGCCATAACTGCCAAAAACTCTTAAATTTTAAAGTACAACTGGAAAAGATCATGAAAGCATATAGGGAGACCTTCAAGAAGCTGCCGGCTTCCTGTCCTCATTGAGGACAGGAAGTGGCATTGTTATCGGGGTCACTAGTGTTAGTGGCCCTCAGGCAAATATTTATTCTACTGAACTTTTAAGTGTGTAGTATGGAGTATAAACATGTAAATAGTGTTTGTCGAAGTGAGCAAGTGGGAGTGGAAATGATAAAAACATTATAAACTGGTGAATAATATACCATATTGGTTAGTATACTAGTGAAATGCACATACAGGTATTTGTGTTTATGATGTTTCATACCTGTTAGTGCATCATTATGATAGCATATTGCACAATATCAGTAAACAAACAAAAAAAGTGGACGACATTCATAAAATATTATAAATAAATAATTGTGGCAATTCTTGCTGCTTAAATAGCACGACCCACTCCAGGTGATGCCTCCTCGAACGCCCAGGAAATTGTGATGTCATGGCAACATTCTGTCACTTCACTACAGCCAAAGTATGTGCGATATTGATTTTATTTATGCCTTCACATTAACAGGGAACCCATTTTAACAATATTAACACAACAAATTTTGTTTCAAATCATTTTTCTTGTGCACCAGAGGGTCTCTTGTAATGCTTGTGCAGTAAGAGGGTTAAAAAATCTATTGAACACGACACATCCGGGCACATTCATCCTCCTCAAAATCAAAAGAGGACAAGGATTTTTTATTTGCCCAATAGCAACCAAGAAGGATGGCAAGGACAAGACACGGTGTGACCGGGATGCCACGAAAAGGAGCAAATTCGAGGACCATCGTCGTTTGAGATCATTAGACGAGCAAAATACATTGACATTAACTGTCCAACTTGCAAACTATTTTCAGCATCAGATAACGAAGAGTCGCTCAGTTCATCTCAAGCTTTATCAGATGGTAAAGTGCTTATCGAAGCACCTGTGTAGCATCAGCACGTCTGAAGTTGGCTGATGCACAGCTTGCTCCACTACTCCTATACTACACTCAGGTGCCAGCACACACCTAACAGCACACGTGAGCACCAGCAGCACACACCTGTCAGTGTGTGTGCAGCTCCACCGCTGTCCTGTGAGCCTCCACACCACCACAACTGAGGTAAACTCTCACAGCCTCACAACTCACCCACTAACCCGTCGCTGCCCCGCTACATGTAAACAAACCTCGAACACTGTCTACAATTTATTAATTAACAACTGAACCAAACCTCCTCTTTATTTGACGTTGATAACTGCAATATTTAAAAAAAAATGAGCATATTATTTTATTTTTATTTTATTTTATTTACCTGTATTTTAGATTTTACTGGAAACGTTTGTAACAGGGACTTTGTGTATAAAATAATAATAATAATAATAATAATAATAATAATAATAATAATAATAATAATAATAATAATAATAATAATAATAATAATTTATTTAGTACCAGTACATACATAGTTGCAGCGTTACAGTACAAACATTCTGTTAGATTTAAAGATAGAGGTAGTACATACAATACCTAAAGCCACTCAAAGCGTTTCGGGCAGGAAAAACATTAAAGACTAAAACTTAATAGTAATTGAGATTAAAGTATAAAATGTGTTGAGAACAAATGAAAATAAAAATAAAAAAGGGGGGAACATGGCAGAAAAAGCAGCACAAATGCAATTAGGTCGACAAACCAACCCGTCCTCTTAAAAATAACGTCACTTTGGGCTCGTATGCGCACTATGGCCAAATTTGGACGTAATTTGAAATGAAATCGACTCACAAAAGTGACGTACTGTCCCGTTTTCTGTTTGAGTCGTCCCAGCTTAGAAAAGGATTCTTTCCATTAACGTTTTTCATACTGTTTTGAAACTTTATGAGAATTTCCTGCCCACCTAACCTATCAGAGGACCCTTAACTTACTGTTGTTGAAAAAAAATCCCAAATTTATATTCATTTTTTTCATTTTCAAATTACATCCATATTCGTTCATACGGGCAAACGGCCAAAAGCGACGTTCTTTTTAAGAGGACAGGTAAGTGTTGTTTAAAAAATAACAGACATGGGTTGACAATATAGGGGTAAGGTAGGTTACAGGGAATTTATTAGGAAGTGCTTCGTTTTTATTTTAAACTAAAACACAGTCTCCGTGGTGTAGTGGTAAGACACTCGCCTGGCGTTCCGCGAGCGCTATGTCATGGGTTCGTATCCTGGCCGGGGAGGATTTACTGGGCGCAATTCCTTAACTGTAGCCTCTGTTTAACGCAACAGTAAAATGTGTACTTGGATGAAAAAACGATTCTTCGCGGCAGGGGATCGTATTCCAGGGACCTGCCCGAAACGCTACGCGTACTAGTGGCTGTACAAGAATGTAACAACTCTTGTATATATCACAAAAAAAAAAAAAAAGTTGAGAGAGGTACAGTCTTTAACACGGTTGGGAAGGTCATTCCACATTCTGGGTCCCTTGATTTGTAGAGCATTTCTGGTTTGATTAAGTCGTATTCTTGGAATATCAAAACTGTATTTGTTTCTGGTGTGGTGCTCATGGGATCTGTTACAACCTTCTAGGAAGCTTTTGAGGTCAAGATTAATATTACAGTTCAGCGTTTTATATATATATAATACACATGAGAGGATGTGCAGTGACTTAATATCTAACATATTCAGAGATTTGAGTAGGGGTACCGAGTGATGTCTGGGGCCAGAGATATTGTCCTAATAGCAGCTTTGTGTTGAGTAATTAGAGGACGTAAATGATTTTGGGTTATCTTGAGGTTATCTTGAGATGATTTCGGGGCTTTAGTGTCCCCGCGGCCCGGTCCTCGACCAGGCCTCCACCCCCAGGAAGCAGCCCGTGACAGCTGACTAACACCCAGGTACCTATTTTACTGCTAGGTAACAGGGGCATAGGGTGAAAGAAACTCTGCCCATTGTTTCTCGCCGGCGCCCGGGATCGAACCCGGGACCACAGGATCACAAGTCCAGCGTGCTGTCCGCTCGGCCGACCGGCTCCCTTAGGGTGCTTGGGGTAGTAGAACCCCAAGCACAAATACCATAGTTGAGATATGGATATATGAGGAAGTAATAGAGCGTCACCAGGGCAGGGCGATGTACATAATATCTGATCTTAGAAAGAATGCCAACAGTTTTTGAAACTTTATTGATATATTTAGAATGTGTCCCTGGAAATTCAGCTTGTTATCTATGAGGACACCAAGAAATTCACCATCAACTTTACTACTGATTTGAATATTGTATATTCTTAAATTAGTTTCATTTGAGGATTTATTACCAAACAAAATACAGAAAGTTTTGTCAATGTTAAGGGTGAGTTTGTTAGCAGTTAGCCACAGATGGACTTTATTCAGTTCAATATTCACAGTGACATTTAGAGGAAGAGGGTCAGGACTGGAGAAAATGAAAGTTGTGTCATCAGCAAATAAGATTATTTTGAGGTGTTGAGAGGCATTTGGAAGGTCATTAACGTAGATGAGAAGGAGGAGAGGGCCAAGTATGCTGCCCTGGGGAACACCGATGTTTATAGGTAGTGTCGGAGAAATGGAATTATTCACAGAAACTTACTGGAGCCTGTCAGTAAGGTAGGACTGAAGGTATTGCAGGGAGTGACCTCTGACTCCATAATAATGTAATTTAAGAAGAAGGTTTTGGTGGTTGACAGTGTCAAAAGCCTTACGCAGGTCCACAAATAACCCAACAGGGAACTCATTTTTATCAAGAGCTGCATGTATCAAGTTAATCATACTAATAAGTGCATCGTTAGTGCTTTTTTGGGTCTGAAGCCATATTGGCAAGAGCTTAGTATATTATGTTTGGCTAGATAAGAGTAAAGCTGCTTGTAGATTAGTTTTTTAAATATTTTTGACAAGTTTGGCAGAATTGATATAGGTCTGTAGTTGTTAACATCTGTGACATCACCACATTTGTGGACAGGCGTTACTCTCGCTTTTTTTAGAATATCTGGAAAGGTTTGGAGTTCAAGTGACTTGTTGAAGAGCAAAGCAATAGCAGGGGCTAGAGATCTGGAGGCTTTTTTGTAGATTAGAGTTGGTATCTCCTCGAGGGCACTAGACTTGGTCTTAAGGGAAAGGATTACCTCATTTACGTCAGTGGAATTAGCGGGCGTTAGGTACAGAGACTGTGGGTAGTTACCTGTAAGATAGTCCTTAACATCAGTACTGGAAGATGGAATATCATTAGCATGGGATGACCCAATGGATGAGAAGAACCTATTGAATTCAATAGCAGTGTCAGAGGCTGAAAGCTGACCATCGTTATTGGACAGGAGTATTGGTTTGTTATTTAAAATCTTTTTTGATCCCAATATTTGTGAAATTGTGCTCCATGTTTTCTTCATGTTGCCCTTTGTTTGGGTAAATTTATCTTCGTAGTATTAAATTTTGGCTCTTTTAATTATTTTAGATAGCAATGATGAGTAATTCTTTGAAAATTCTTAGGAGACGATACCTAACCTATACTTCTTCTCAAGTTCACGTTTTTTATTAATAAATTTAAGTATCCTCTTTGTAAGCCAAGGATTGTTTAGCCTTTTAGTTGTGACTTGTTTCGTTGGCATAGGACAGTGGGTGTTATAAAGGCTGAGAGTTTTTTGAAGAAATGATTGCACTGCTAGGTTGATGTCCCCTATGGTACCTAATTCGGACTCCCAGTTGACATTAGCAGCAGCAGCTATAAAATTGCCTATAGAAGTTTCATTGTTCAGCCTAAAGCTTATCTTCCTTGTATCTAGAGGTGGTTAGTTAGGAGAAATGTGGGGTAGTGGTGTGTAGTGCTATCGATGATTATCCCTGAAGTAAGCGGAGAGGTTATGTTGGTCCAGATGTGATCAAGAGCTGTGGCAGTACTGTCAGTGATTCTAGTAGGTCTAGTGATTAAGGATATGAGGAAGCAGGAATTCATACAGTTGAGGAAACTGGCAGCAGGAGAGTTATCAGGCTCGCAGAGGTCAACGTTAAAGTCCCCAGAAATAATTAGGTGGTTTTTGTTCAGTCTGTTCTCTAGTATAAGATTTCTCAGGTTAGAGTTAAATTCAGTCACATCAGTGTTAGGAACCCTGTAGACTGCTCCCACAGTCAAGACAGCATCGTTACCCTTGACTCTGAAACAGGCAAATATATACTCTCCATAAGGGTCTCTAGATTTAATTACTTTTAAGCAAGTCAGTGCATGGTGGCAGTAAAGAGAAGTACCACCACCTCTTTGTACAGGACGACAGTTGTGAATGGCTGAGTAGTTTGGTATGTTGAAGAGTTGAGTAGTATCCTCTTTTAACCACGTTTTAGTAAACACAATACAAGAGAATTTGTTGTCAACTGTTTGGATCAGGGCATTAACATCATCAAAGTGTTTGCTTAGAGATCTTACATTCAAGTTAATTACAGAAACATTGTGATTACATGTTAAAACATTGTTCACATCAAGAGCTGTATAATACCTGCAATTTTGATCATTAAAGTGATGATTGTCATAGATACTAGATAAGAGGTTTAGGTCTGGGTCAATACTAGTTTGCATAAGAGGACTGTTTGACAAAAAAAAAGAAAAAAGATAATTATAAAAAGATCTAGATATAAAAAATATATGTATATAACTATACAGAAAATGAGGTTGCTTAAAGATACTTTCAATAGATGACCAATACAAATCAGCTAACAATTAATAATTCTATAAAATATAAAACTTACTTACTATAATATTATAATTACAATACAGTTAATTACTTAAGTTACACTAAAACAAAATGAGGTAGATTAGCTAGAGGTACACTCAGGAAAACTAATTAATTTGACATTATTTGACTTCGTTGTAAAGTCTTCATAGCTTCAACATCGACGCATATGAGCTGTGCTAAATGGCATATACTCTTGTCTAGAGACTAGAACCATGCTTATGTGTGTTGGTGTTGTTGTTGTTGATTTAGGGCCGACGACGATCGTGGGATCGGATGCGCCCCGGGGTCTCCATTAAGAGTTAATCGTGAAGCCCGGAAAGGTGAAACGCCAAGCCAAATCGCGAAACAAGTGACACTAATCACTGGATACTAATATGCCTCGCGGCAAAGAAACTCACACAGGCAGATGATTGGGGAGCCCCAGGAGTCCCTCAGGGTGACAAGCACCGGCCCCGCCCCAGGAGTCCCTC